TCCACGACCCATCGCTGGAGCCAACGCCACGACGCATGACACGAGGAACCGACCCAAGACGGAGAACACCTCCTGGGTAGCCGCTTCGAACCCCCAAAGAACGGTAGGCTAACCGTAACCCTCGCTGCTCCTGCTACTGCTCCTCCTCCTCCTCCCCCCTCCTCCTCCTGCTCCTCCTCCTACTCCTCTTGCCTCCTTCTCCTCCTCTTCCTCTCACCTCCTGCTCCTCCTCCTCCTCCTCCTCCTCTTCCTCCTCCTCCTCTTCTTCTTCCTCTTCCTCCCCCCCTTTCTGATCGCCGCTCAGATAGCTTCGCGCACGCCGACGACAGGGAGAGGCCGGGAGACATCTCATCGCCGATCATCGCTCATTTGTCTACGGCCCGAGTGTCGCAGGTTTCGTATCTCCCCTTTCCTCCGTCTCTCTTATCTTTGTGTATTTTACTCTTTAGATCTGTCTTTGTCTGTCTGTCTACACATCAACCCTGCATGTCTGTCTAAATGTTTACTTTTCGGCTCGCTCAGGTCAGTCATGGTGATGAATAATTTTGTTTCTAACAAAACTCGCCTTTATAAAATTGTGAATCTAGGGGCATGCCATTCGGTTTAAAGATTAGGTGAGAGAGAGAGAGAGAGAGAGAGAGAGAGAGAGAGAGAGAGAGAGAGAGAGAGAGAGAGAGAGAGAGAGAGAGAGAGAGAGAGAGAGAGAGAGAGAGAGAGAGAGAGAGAGAGAGAGAGAGAGAGAGAGAGAGAGAGAGAGAGAGAGAGAGAGAGAGAGAGAGAGAGAGAGAGAGAGAGAGAGAGAGAGAGAGAGAGAGAGAGAGAGAGAGAGAGGGAGGTGTTATCACACATACCTGACTAGTTTAACCAACATCGCAACTTCGATAAAACCAATCAACTACAATTTCCTCCATTGTCACAGGTCAGGCGGAACTTCTCCCGTATCAGACTGTGTGCGCGCGCGTGTGCGTTTGTACGTGTGTGTGAAGTCTTCGCGTAACAGAGTCTAATCGGAAGTTAATCAATCTAACCTACACATATCTTAGAAAAAAAAGTTTAATCTTGTTCATCTGACAAGGATTTCTCTAAAGTACCGGTAATTTCACTAATAATAATAAGAAAAATATAGCAGTAACAATAATAATGGTAAGTTTTAATAATGACAAAATAACTGATGATGATGATGATGATGATGATGATGATGATGATGATGATGATGATGATGATGATGATGATGATGATGATGACGACGATATTGGAAATAACAATAATAATAATGATAATAATAATAATAATAATAATAATAATAATAAATAATGATAATAAGGATAATATTGATAATAACGATATTAACGATAACAATGATGATGATAATAATAATAGTAATAATAATAATAATAATAATAATAATAATAATATCATCATTATAATAACAATGCTAATGATAATAATAATGACAATCATAATAGTAATAATAATCATAACAATAACAATAAAACAAACTGTAAATTGCAAAAAAAAATATTCACAAACACTTCACTTGACTCTGATTGTGTGAATTCCCACGCCATTTGCACGCGAAATTTGACCAAGATGCAAACCACATTTCTTTTTTTTAAGAACTTCAAAAACTAATCTTAGAGCGCGTGCACCCTCCTGCGCTCGGGGTTCACGTAAGTAAATATGTCATATTATACACATTACTTGATTATCCATTCATTTGCATCACATGCCTATTATGAAAATGTTGGTGATATAATAACTCGGGGAGCACAGACCGCTTTGTAATTGCATCATTAATGACGCTAAGATGCAATGGATTATCAATTAATGAATCTAATTATTCATTAATCTTTTAAGGCGTTCATCCAGGAAGGCCAATGAGATATTGTCAATCTTCTCATGCTTAAGAATATTTAGAGCAGAAGTACTTTTGTATTGCATTAGACAGTAACACTTATCACCCTTTAGAACACATCAATATGATACAGATAAAAATAATATACACTATCTATTTAATGTTCACTATATTACTTTATGCCTTAAATACAAATTCATTTTCGACAAGCTTCAGTAAAATCAGAACATGAGTAAATGTTTTTGTTTTGAAGGTGAAAAAATGTATTCTCCAAACCATGCACTCAGACACATCAGTCCTAAACAGAATGACGCTGCCAATCGTCCTCATGGCGGCTTTTGTAATCCTTCGCCCCTAAGAAGTGGAAATAATCGAAATAACACTGATAACTTGATCATACTAGAGAGCCTTGTGAACCGACTTGTGACCAACAGCACACAGACCCGGCACCTTTGTGTCACACCTGGTCACGTGTTCCCTATTCTAAAGACAATGCACGAAATTTTGCTGCGTTTTGCCCACTCTCTCCTCCCTTCTACAGGGCTGATTTTTCCCGTCAAAGGCAGCCTTTCGCGACAAACTTGGTGTGATTCTACCATGCCCGCGAAATGGGGTATTGCGGGACCGCAGAGTTTATCCTCCTAC